CAGGACATCTACAGTGAATTTGCTGCAGCAGCGGCAGAAAACCCTGAAAAAGCCGGGAAGTGGAAAGATATGGCTGAGGAGGTTGATCAATCTTCAGACGAGCTGTATCAATTCATCGAAAAGCTTAAAACCGAAGTGGTTGACGCCAGCGGTGGCACCGAAGTGAATTCCAATGGCCAAACGGTTCCCAAAAGGCTTGACGCCCTGGAAGGTCCCGCCAACTACCTGCTTAACAAGGGAAATGCTACTGAGCTCAAAAAACGCCTGGATGCGTTTTCAGCGAAGATGAAGACTTACGTTGACGATGAGCAGATGCACGAGGCCATTTCAAATACATTTGACACGCAGCCTCAAAAGCTGGGCGACAAGAAAGTTCCGTGGGAAAGCGCCACCTTTGAGCACTATCCCCTGGGAGCCATACTTCCCTTTTTAACCGATTTACAAGCCAAAGTAAGAACCACAGAGTCGGACGTGATTTCTGCCCTTAGAGGTGAAATTGGCGCCACCGACCTGAAATTTACCGGAGTACGGGTAATGGTTGATGCCGAAAGCAATTACATTACGCAAGGAGGCGAGTACGAAGCCAAAGTATTTCTTGCCGCCTACGATGAAACGCAAGAGCCTACGGTTATTGTAAACGGGGAAAAGTTACCCAGTGAAAACATTAAAGACGGCATGGGTATCGTTAAATTCGATGCCAATAAAGTTGGAGAAGTAACCTGGGGTGGTCAAATCAAAATTAAGCAGTTGGGCCAGCCTGAAAAAACGTACGATATACCGGAAACCAAGTTTACGGTGGCGCCACAGTCAGTGGTAATTTCTCCCACCAAGATGANNAGATGAACGTGCTTTACCGCGGTGTGGATAACCCCATTGAAGTTGGCGTTCCGGGAGTAGACCCTGCCAAGCTAGTGGTAAACGGCCCCGGAATAAAGAAAACCGGAACCGGTGAATACGTAGCGGACGTAACCAATATCAGCGGTACCGATCTTAAAATTAACGTAGCGGTTCAGGAAGAGGGCCCTGACGGCAAAATGACTACCCGCCCGGCTGGTAGCAAGGAATTCCGTATCAAAGGCCTTCCGCCTGCGGTGGGAATGATTTATCGTCAGAACACCAGTATGCGCTCAAAAAGTGCCGTAAAAGCCGCCAAAATTGAAGCAGAATACCAGGATTTTCCCTTTGAACTTCCCTTAAATGTAATCAGCTTCGAAATTGCCATACCCGGCTTCCCGCCCGAAAGAGTGAACGGAAACACATTGCCCGGTGCAGTTAAAACAAAGATTGATCAGCTAAAACCAGGCTCAACTATTACCATTCGTAATATCAAGGCCAAAACGCCTAAAGGGCTTACCGTTGATCGTATCGCCAATATTTCAGTAGACGTTCAGAGCTAATAATATTAAAGACGGATTATGAAAAGGTTGATTTTTGGAATTTTACTCGTAGCGCTTACCGCGCTGCCCAATTTTACCTCGGCTCAGGTTTTAACCCCGCAAGACGATGGTATAATTCCAGACCCTCCCAAGCACTACCACAACAATCAGGTATTCCCCTACCCTACTTTGCGGGAGGCCGATATCATGTGGAGTACCAGGCACTGGGAAAAAATTGACCTCCGTCAGAAGTTCAACTTCCACCTGTACTATCCCATTCAGGCGGTGCCCGATCGCAAAAGTCTTTTTGACGTTTTGGTTGACGGCATCTTAAATGAAGGTACCATTGTGGAGGTTTTTGGCGATGACCGTTTTGAGATCCCCTATACTCCTGATCAGGTACAGGGTTACGTGCAAATGGTAGATACCGTTCGCGACCCCGATGACCCCAACATTATCCTGTTGGTTGATACCATAAAAATTACCTCCAAGGATGTGTTGTTCTGGGAAATCAAAAGCGATTGGTATTTTGACAAGCAACGGGGCGAAATGAAAAACCGCATTATCGGTATATCGCCCATCGTACGAAATCCTAAAACCCTGGATACGTACAACCTTTTCTGGGTTTGGTTTCCCGATGCCCGTTACGCGCTTTCTACCCACGTTGCCTTTAATGAGCAAAACAACACCCAACGTTTAACCTACGATCAGGTATTTCATTTGCGCTTTTTTCAGAGTGTAATTACCAAGGAAGACAACGTTTACGACCGTGCCATTGAAGAGTACAAACGCAACGAACCCATAGAACAACTAATTGAAGCCGATCGCATAAAGAATAACTTGCGAAACTTTGAGCACGACCTTTGGGAGTACTAATGGCTTTATGTAATTGACAAAATTTGTCTGGCCCCCTTTGCGTGCAAAGGGGGCTTTTTATTATGAAACACTTCAAATATATAATCGTTGGCCAGGGCATTGCCGGAACTGTGCTCTCTATGCGCATGCAAGAGGCTCGCGTGCAACACCTGGTGGTTGATAACCCCCTGCTTTCACGCTCATCAAAAATAGCAGCCGGCCTGGCCAATCCCATTGTTCTAAAACGCCTAAAATGGGTAAAAGATGCCGAACTGTTCATGCCTCCGCTCAGCGCTTTTTATAAGGGTTGGGAAGCCCGGCTCCAGACCAACTTTTGGCATGGCATTACCCTTCAGCACATCTTTCACGACATCGCGGAGCTAAACCATTGGATGGAAAAATCAGACGCCCCTCATTTCAAGAAGCATCTTGGCGCCATAGAAAAAAATACAGCGCCTCATATTTCCGCCCCCCACGGCATGGGCAAGTTGGAAAACATTGGCTGGCTCAACACCGCACCGTTTATAGAGCAGTACCGCGAATATCTTATAGCAAATAACCAATTCCTGGCATTACAGACGGGCGAAGAACTATCCGAAGCCTTGAAAAAGGCCGGCATTTCTGCCGATACAACCATTTACTGCACCGGTCATTTGCTGCGCAAGCAATTTCCCGCCTTAGCGAAGTGCTTTACCCCTACCCGGGGCGAAGTGATGGTAGTAAAAAACACCGAGTTAAACCAGGCCTGGCACAAAGCCATTTTTGCCCTACCCCTGGGAAATGGGCGCGCTAAAATTGGCGCCACTTATGCCCACGATGATCTGCGCGACATCACCTCGAACAAGGGTTCATCTTTTTTACTGGAAAAACTAAAACAGTTTTATACCGGCCCCTATGCCATAGAAACGCACCAGGGAGGCGTGCGCCCCAATATAGCCGACCGCAAGCCGATTATGGGCCAAATTGCCCCTCGGGTTTATACTTTTAATGGCATGGGCTCGCGCGGAGTATTAATGGCTCCCTATCTAAGCCAGGTGATGCTTTCTCATTTAGAAGATGGGCAAGCCCTACCAGCACGTTGGGCCCTTAGTCGCTTTACTTCAAGTTAGGGCCCCGCTTTTCCGGACGGTACTTCACAAAAAGGTTGAGCCACGTACTGCGCGCCAAACGAAATATAAGGGGCGTAAAGAGCAAAAGAATAATGGCCAGGGCAATAACCACGTGCCATACTTTCGGTTCGTAAATCATGTCCATGATGAGATAAGTAGCCACAAAGAAGGCCACCGAATACCCGTAACTCACATACATGGCCCCGTAGAAAAAGCTGGGTTCAATTTGGTACCGCAAGTCGCAATGCGGACAGTTTTCATGCATTTTGAATAAACTTCCCAGTTTATAAGGGTTTTTGGTGATAAAAACATCGCCTTCATGGCAGCGTGGGCATTTGAATGTAAGAATGGAATAAAGCTTTGTGCTTTTTGGTAATAATTTCATCTGCTTAAAAGTACTTTTGCAAAATGCTAGGAATAAACAAAATCTCGCTTCAATACAACGGCCGCCATATTTTCAATCAGGTGTCCTTTCAGGTAAATACCGGAGAAAAACTTGGCCTGGTTGGACATAATGGTGCTGGCAAATCTACGCTGCTTAAAATTATTATGGGCGATGTTAACCCTCAATCTGGCGACATCAGTGTGCCCAAAGATTTCCAGCTCGGCTACCTTCCGCAGGAGCTTCCCTTTTACGATGGGCGCACGGTGTGGGAAGAAGCTGAATCTGCGCTAAGCGAGATTAAAACCGTAGAGGCCAACCTTGAAAGAATTAACCAGGAACTGGCCGAACGCGAAGATTACGAGAGCGATTCATACCTCAAACTTATTGAAGACCTCAATCATTATACT